CAGGTACAAGTAGTTTACACTGACACAGATATATATATACAGTATGGAACAAGAGGTCACACGACCGGATACTGTTGCAACACTTAGAAGAGATCTTGGCACCCCAGGGTGTTGGTTTAGAGTAGGGTCATTTTGTTCGATTAAGATGGATTCCTTGATTTTTCAGTTGTTTATGTTTGGTTCTTTGTTTAAAATTAGTGTTTTTAATAAATATACTATGGTTTTTCTGAGTTGTAATGGTGGAAAACATGGGATGGTTTTTCATTGTGTTCTGTGAATCTGGTTTCCAATTTTCTTCCTGTTTCTCAGATGTAGAATTCTGGGGAGTTATTGCATGTTATTTTGTAAATTACGTTGGTATTGTGTGATTCTAAATAATTTTTGTTTAGTAAAAATTTTAATTTAGGGCCGGGTTTTTGAGAGAATTTGACGTTGACAGGAATATTGTGTTTAATAACTAGTTGTACATTTGCTGTTATGTTAAAATTATATTAAAGTTCTTCTTCATTACCCATTCAAGCTGTCTCCAAGCGTTATGTTGAATATCTTCGCCTATTTACTAACATTATAGCTCACCTGCTAATTTCTTGTGTGGTTTCATTGTTCACTGTGGTAACAAGTCGTCCTGTCTGTTTCTTTTTCAGTGACTCTACTTCTGCTTGAATTTCCTTTAAATGTTCTTCAGTTCGCTCTCTCATTCTTCGCTCTTTGTTTGTTTCTGTTTTTCCATCATCAATCTGAGATTCAAGCTACCAACAACCAAAATTGCATATCTTATAAGCTTAGATATTAGAAACAATGGAGATTAAACAATGCCACACAACTCTTCTACCAGTTTTAGGGTTATTTTTACAGATCAGCAATACATAATACTTATTATCAATAATTAATTGTTCATCAGGAAATACTGGTAAAAATTTTTTCTATTACATAATAGAGCTGGGCGATTAACTCAATTAAGTGATATAATCTATTACCTATGGGCACTGATTAGTGTCACATAAAATAATTATTAATGAAACAAAAAATCTACTAATTGAAATTAGTTTTTCCAATAAGTCAAACTATCCAAGTAAATAAAATAGTGCCATTATGACTTCAATTATCTTTTATTAATTCTAGTTTATATGGCTTACTCGGTTATTTTCCTGATTCATGAGAATAATAAAGTAATTGAAATTAGAGTTTTTGGTTATTGCTATACTTGACTATTCCAACTTTTCAAGTATTCAAATATTGCCATTATGCTTTTCTCATTATTTTTTGAATAATAATTCAAGTTTTTAAGCTTTGAGTGGTGATGGCTTGGTGATTAACAGGGGTCTTCGATTCTAATTGTCACTACACATGTTTGCCCCTTTCAGCAGTAGAAGCATTATACTTGTTTTTTTATTTTTCAGGTATGGCAAAACTACTGTTATTAAAGACTATCTACCATTGTCTCTAATTTTTAACTGCCAATCAGCTGACTGCACCCCACCCCCACCAACTTTTAGGCTACTTAAGTATTAAATGAAGTGTAAATTCACCTTTTTTTTACATTTTGTTATACTGTAATTTATAAACTATGTAGCTATTCTTTAGTGTTCAATAAACTATAAATTCATTTTTTCTACAATGTGTTTGTGTCATGTTTAAAACATAAGTTATAACAAATACTGACACATCTCAAACCTGCAACTTGGATCATGAGGCAAACCCTCTCAACACAGAGTTCTTTATCCACTCAGTCATGATAGCCTTTTAACCATTTGATAAATTACAAATGCTAAGATACTAATAAATTTCATACATTTGGAAAACTGGGGTTTATTTTATCTAATAAATAATATTAACATGTTAATAGTATATAACTGTATATACAATTTAAAAATGTAGTTTCTTTTACTACAACTTAGAGTTTAAAAATTCAACAATGTCTACATATTACTGTGAAACATAAAAACAAAAACCTTACAGTTAAAATCTTTTATATTATTTATATAGTTTAGTTTGTTTGAAAATTATTTTATTAACTTGAATTTTGATAGTTTGTACTGAAAACACATAAACAACTCGTATGGTGTATGTTAGTGAAGGATAATTATAAAGAACTATTAAATGCTATTAAGAAATAGATTTGGAGTGGTGCATATAAATTTGACTACAATTACTACTTTCTTAGAGTATTTTAACTAAACGTCTATTTGGATAGCTGTGTAATTGAAACAAGGACTTCAGCTTATGACCAAAGGCATTATGGGAAGTAAATGTGCAACAAGTACGAAAAAACTGCATAGTTGCTATAGAAAAGATACAAAACTAAAAAAACTGGAATCAAGTTAATTCTCGATTTGACAGAGTGCATGAAAAACATTTTCTATTTTGATAATGTAAATAAACAAACAAAATTCTACATACTTACCCTAATTTTTATTGACAATATTTACATAAATATAAAATTTGTTTTATTTGCTTAATGTGTAATGACATATAAAGAAACCTTTCAACAATTAATACATATGTACGTTTTTTCCCCCCCATTTACAACCTTACCCCCAACTAGTTTGGGAATGGATAGTATTTTTTGTATGCCAAGAATTTTTTACAACTGGGTATGTTTGGTTACAGGAATTTCAACTTACGACTATCAAGTAGTGAGTCGAGCACCCTAACTACCAGGTCATGAAAATGTATAAATTATGTAATCCATTTAGGGAGCCCTGATGTTTCTTTTTTTTTTTATGGTCATCAGTGTATTGTTGGTCCAATTTAATGTCATCTTTAATATGGTTTGAAAATTTTATTTCCAACAATGAAAGACATATTACTTAGGGTACTTATACATTAACAAAGTTTACTATCTTTATATATAAAGTCCTCTAAAAATGTCATAAGTAATGTGTTTATTTTCATCCACAAAAATTCAGTAGTTATAGTACAGTAAGTAGCCTTGTGGATAGTTGGATGGATAAACCCATGGAATGCTATTAATCCTATTTCATACTTTTCAGCTTGTTACAGGTTTCAAACAAAACACTGCTTTACTATACATTTTCATGTACAACAGTTTAGGATTAAACGTTATTATCTTCCTATATTGAAAATATATTTCCAATAAGTACTTACCTCTACTCACATGTATGCCTATTTTCATTCAGTGCTGCCCTCTATATGCAAAACTTTTTTCACATGCCACAAGCCTTGAACTCTCACATACCCCACGATCAAAGTGGTTCAACTGCGTTTCACATGTAAATCATCATGAGACAACCATCCACTAACAGGAGTGACACACCCTCCTGACACATGCAACTCCCTTTATTCAATTCTACTGAGCTATCACTTCGAGATTAGGCAGGAAAAAAAAGTAATGGTTTCCAGTGGGGAGGAAGGGTGGGAAGTATGATAGGAGGTAAATACCTATTGGAAATATATTTTTAGTATAAGAAAATAACTTCGGATATGGTAAATTGCCTCCTCTCACATGCATAGCTAGAATCACACATTCAACAGGCAGATGGACCATTGCTAGGGATAGAAAAGCATCTGTTGAAAGCATCTGAAGAAACCCAATGAAGTGTGATCCCTGTTGGGAGAGGTACACACGTGGGAGACTGCACCACTTCTATACCAGGTATACTCTGCGGCCAGTGTGGAAATAGGTGTCACATATACGGGCAGAAGGTGGAAGGAGCACAACCAAAAAGGGAGAGACAACAGATTAGGTTGGAATCCAAATCACAGTAAATCGCAAGCTCAATCCCATAAAAAAAAAGACTGTAGAAGAACCATATACAAACAGGAATACGGGGAAAGCAAAAATGGAAGTGTTCCAAAGTGTAGAGTGGCTAGGGTGTGACAGATCATATGCGGTTGGTCAACTCCAGTCCAAAACCAAGCAATATCGGGAATAGAACCTCTGACACGTGGTAGGAGGAGGGTCCACACTATCTTCACCTCAAATTAAGTAGATAGGACGGATATACTGTACAAACCGATCTATGAAATGAGCACGTGCACAAAACGTGCAATTGATATGGCAATCAAATCTAAAGTCAAACCCAATTTGTAAGTGTGGAATGGGAAAGGTCACCAATAGAGGAATGTTGCCAGGGAATGAAAAGGCGGGAACAGGAACCATGGAAAGAAGCCGCGCTGACAATGTAACAACAAAGAGCATGTACAGGACATAGAAGTCTATCTGGATCTCACCAGAAATAATGATAGGATATGGAAGGAAGTGAAATTGGCAAGAAGAAAGAATTGCCTTCACAAGTTGCCAAAGTTTTGGGGTGGAAATACCAATCCGGATAAAGGAGAACATATGTGGAATGGTACAGAGTGCGTGAAATGTCAATGGCAAATATACAAGACCAACGACCACCTCAGGCTAATAGTAGTAAGAAATAAGTCTTAGGGGATAAGTGCAACAAAGAACAAGAGGACAAAGGTTCAAATGGAGGTAGAGTAAGGCAGTGAAGAACAACATGGCATTCGAATCCGGAAGGACCACCCGATGAGGAGGTCTATGAAGGAAAGCAACCAATAGGGAGTGGATAGGGGAGGTAAACACCAAATGGCATTGGGGAAAATGGAAGGTGTGGGATAAGGCTGCTCAATAACCAGCTGTGGAAGAAACAAAAGCTCCATGATGAAACAGCCATGTGAGGAAATCTGTAATAAGAGGAATGGTGGGCTGAGAAGGAGAAAAACCCTGACTCAAAGACCAACAGCAGAAGATGTTCCATTTACGTGATAAACCTCCATAGATGAAAAGCAAACAGATTGTGCTAAAAAGGAAGTGACGCACCCAGATCTCCTTGCCCGGGACCTGATAACTGTCAAGCATGAAGACGGAGGGTAGGAAGATCGGGATGAAAGACCAACGACCAAGGTTGACATAGAAGGAATAAAGTGAGAGGAAAAGGCAATGGAAGGGCAGTTTGGAGCTGGAGGAGACAAGGAAACCAAGGTTGTGCCAGCCAGTAAGGAGCAATCAGAAGAACCTGACACAAAGTGGCATAGATGATCAATGTCACCTGGGGAAGAAGTCAGATGGGAGGATAAACATAAAGGTACCAGTTAGTCCAATCCTGGCTGAAAGCATCAACAGCTAGGGCCTGAGGATGAGGAACAGGAGACCAAAAAAGTAGTAACTTGGTATTAAGAAAAGTGGCAAATATATCCAGATGAAGAGTACCCCACTGATTGCATAGCCACTGGAAAAACCTGATGGTCAAGAGACCATACCATGGAATAAACTTTATTTGGTCTGGAAAGGCAATCTGCCAAGTGGTTAAAAGTACCTGGAACATGACAGGCAAGGAGACGTATCCCCCAGTGTGAGGCCCCAAAAAAGGAGATCTAAGGTTTGACTACAAAGAGAATGGGTGCCCCCTTGGTGACTGATATAATCCACCACTGTAGAATTTTTGAAAATGATCATGATAAGTTGATTCAACACAAGAAGAAGAAAGTGATCCAAAGCACATCGTACTGCCAGCAGCTCCAATACGTTGATATGGTAAGACCTCTTGGCCAGAGACCATTGTCCAAAAGCCTCCTGCTGATAGCCCCATGCCCCCAACCATAGAGAGAAGCATCTGTGAATATATGCAAATCTGAACTAAGTGGAGAAAGTTAAAAATTATCACTCCTTTTAGTGTATTACCCATTTCTTGATTTTATAAGCATTTTTCCTATCTTTTTCTGCTTGTTTGTTGTATAGGTCTTTATTGTCACCCTTTTATAACACCATGGTTTAATCATTTACTAATGAAATACAGCTTTAGGAACAGCTATAGAGCAAGTTTAAATATGATTGACTAGAGCAAGAACTAGCACTTTCTAGCAGAAAGTGGTTGTGCAGTAGTTTATGGTTTAGAGGGAAAGCTTCTAGTCAGAGGTCCTGTAGCAATGACCAAAGGCATTAAATGGGAAGTTCTGAAGACTTAAAAACTAACAACAGAGTCCAAACCTTTTTTTTATAGTTTCTTTTGAAGTTCTATTCATTCATAAAAGTGTTTGTGTTAAATTATATCTAGTCAAAAGCTACAGAATTTCTTTTTGATCAGAAGGCATCAGATAAGCTCAGTTAGGCTTAGTAAGTAAAATATTCTGATGACTCCAATCCTTATTTATTCAATAATATTTTTAGGTTTAACACATTCAAATAACATATATAAATAAACTGGCTGACTGGTTACTCTGTTTGTAATTGTAGTTCATATGTTGTCAATAAAAACATTATTACCACTAACAATGATTGCAAAATGTTTTCATAAACTGATTATCAATTTATTTGATTTACATGAGATCAATGAAGAGAGAATTACTGCATATTATAAAAACACGAAAAATGTTGACAAGTTTTGTACCAATATTAACAATTTGCTAAACAGAAGCAGTTCAGATTATCATTAAATAAAAATTTGCCAGCAGAAGCACTTAAGATGTTTATCAAATTAAACGAAGGATAGTTTGAAAATGTCTTTTAAAAATAAAATGAGCTGAAAATAGGCAGATTAATCTCATTAGGATATTTGATCAGTTGAATGTTATCAATAAACAAGCCTGATAAGAAGTTCCACTAATCATCCAGCTCCACTGCACAGCTTGATTAATTAATATCACAATATAATACAGATAAAAAAATATTGCAAGCCAGTCAGTTTTAGAATTACAATAACAAACTTTCATTTTTCAACATACAACTCAATAAACTTGTGCAATTTCACTGTCAGCATCATAATAGACAATTCTCAAACAAGGACAACAAGCTTATCTGTAAAACATTAACAAGAATAACAGCACTAAAAACTAAATAAAATTACAGCGTTTCACTGGTATTCACATTTACACAAAACTGACCTCTCTCCTCAATTTCTCAGCTTTCCTTAGGTCTTGTCTTAAACTGTCAATTTTCTGCTTGGTGCTATCTAACTCCTCCTCCTTCTCTCTAACCTGACGTGACAATTTCTGTTTCTGAGCTCGAAGTTCAGATAGCCTGTCAATAAACAAAAGTACCCAAGAGAGCAATTAAAAATGTTTTATTTACTTACTTACTTTAAGACTCACATGTTTAAATTACTTTTTACATAGAAATAATATTCTCTTCACTTTCATACAGTAATGAAAAAATTATGAGAACCTTGTCCAATATTGTATACTGAATAAAAATGAAAGTTTAACACAATTATTTCCTTGTATATTCTGAAAAATTAATTTCTCAATGTAAAAAAAAATTACCTACTAACTCAGGTCACTCATGTGTTAATTACCACCAAAGTAAGAAATTGAGTAAAGTGTAATAAAAATTAATTACATTTCGTTTCACATCCACTGAATGCAACTTTTATTATAATGCATATCAAGATAAAAGTGATATTTCTTTCTTGAACATTTAATTAAGTCAGATTTCACAGGGACAATTATTTTACCACACGTAATACAATATTAGAATCTAAATTTTGTTTGGAACAGATTCTGCTTGCAATTCCAGTTGAATGAAGGTTTTTTTTTGTTTTGACTTTAAGTGTCTCAATAATAAAAGTATTTGTTTATTTCATTCTTGAATTTTTCACAAAGTTATTCAAGTGCTATCTATACTAGCTGTCCTTAATTTTTAAGTCACAAACTAGAGAGAAGACAGCTAGTCAACACCACCTACTGCCAACTCTTGGGTTACTCTTTACCAAAGAAGAGAGGAATTGACCATCTCATAAAATCCCCATAGCTGAAAGTGTTCAGAAAAGGCTTCAATCCCTCAACCCATTGATTGCGAGTCAAGCTCTCTAACTGTAAGGACATGCTTTGTAAAAGTGAATAACCGACTTTATAATATTTTCTTTTTCCATTACTAGCTTTCATAAATATTTCGTTTCAACATTTGTTTGTCATTTCTTGTTTTTTTAACCAATGATTCAGGAGAATAGAAACAGTTATTTACATACAGCCTATTAACCATTTAAAGCTCTGTAACAGGTATATAATCACTTCTGAGCTTGCAATAATAAAAATTAACTTATAAAAGTCACCATATTTGAAACACAAACTTAAAACACATGGCATAATAACTATGGAATCTTTTAAAATAAACACTTGACTTTTACAATGTATGAGCAAATAGCAACTTATCATGCTATTACATAACCTACATAATCATTGACCTTAAAGAAAATTTTCATACATATACTATGGTAGAACTAACCACATTATGTGCTAGGCTACTTTCTGGAAAAAAATAGTGCAATAAAATATCATCTAAAACATTGAAATGAAATGAAATATAGTATTTATCATACTCTTATCTTATACATAAAACTTATCTATGTCTCCTTTTATTAACTTTTGTACATCTGTTCAAGAAAGATGACAACCTGTCACAATCTCTTAACTTCACTTGAAGGCTTCATACAAAATAATGAAGCTGTCATTGTCTCAAATTACAAAAGCTATGGTTTTTGTGTTTAGCAACTTAATTGCCAAAGCAATTACTTCAATATAATAAACATAAACATGGAAGGAACTTAAGTTAATTCATGAATTTATCACCTAACAGTGGCAAAAAAATAATAGAAAACATCATTAGTAACCTGCAAGACAGAAATCGGGCATGGTCTCGATTTGACTTAAAACATAGTAAGAAATGTTTTGGATTCACAATCTAGTGCAGTGGTTTGCAAACTGTATTCTATGTATTTGTTGTCATTCTAGAATGAGAGAGGCATAATTTATATTTGTTTCCTAATTTTTTTATAGTGATTACAAGTGATTAAATCTACCGAACTCATACAGAGATTCATTAGTGAAAATAACAGGAAAAAAAAAGGTTTTTTTTTTTTTTTATCAAGAAACGTTTGATAACTAGTTGGATTATATAAAGATTTGCATGTGAAATTTGAAAATTTTCTGATTTTCAGTATTTTTAATTTTAAAATTTAAATTATTTTGCATGTTGCCTATCCAATATGTAAAAAGAAAAAAAAGGCAAAAGATTAACATTGCTTAATAAAAAAATTGATATTTTGCATATGAAATCCTTGTAATGTTTACTGATAATCTGCCAAATTTCATTAACATACACTTATTAATTTAAAAGTTATAGCATGAAAACTATAACAAGAACAAAATGGTTGCAAAATCGGTCCTAAGCTTTAAGGGTGGAATAAGGGTCACAGTTCCACGGTGGAAGGAATGAAATAGAGTATTCCATGGATTCGTAAAGTTTGAAAACCATTTATCTTGTATGTATACACGATGAATGAAAGGAGTTATATGGCAAACAAACGTGAAGAAAATAATCCTAAGTTTCAGATGATGTATTTACTATTTTATTAGTTTCAAAAATTTGAAAACTGTAAAAAGTGAAAAGTTTGATTTCAATTTTTGACATCAACTTCTTACAATCAGTTTTCAAATGATTTGTACTTTCAATAAGTAAAAAACATATGCAAAATTTACAGATTTCTGGCTTTGTTTTGTATGCTGACAAGTTTTATCTGCATAAGTGAGAAATTTTTAGATTTCCAGCAACTTACTATTAATTAAAACAAGGAGCAAAAATCAAATGTTACAGCTAAAAGATTATATTTTCTTAATTACTTTATCCAAAAAATAATAATGTTAATAAAATTTATATGCACAGAAAACTTGAACTTTCAACTTGTGAATTATACTTTTTTTTTCTGAGCTAATTCAAGGTAAGAGATGAATCATAATCTTTCAAAAGTCTACATTACCAGAGAGCACTACAGAAGAGAAGACATTTGAAAGATAAGTTGTTATACTGTTACAGATTTTTGAATATTATTTAATGTTATCATTTGTAGTAATTTGGGTTGAATAATAAAAGAATAACTAGATTTAGTGAGATTGGGAAATAAAAATAGTAGAGTTAAAGATTTAAATTAGAACTTATTGGTGTAATGTGCAGTACAACATTAGATTAGGCTTACGATGTGTAACGGTACTTTTAGGTTTAGCTGTAATTAATTTCACTGATAAATTGTAACACAGGTAAAATATATTGTTTTATTAAACAAATACAATCTAAAGACTAGTTAAAGATTATCTTATTTACTTGACTAGTCTAGATCCCTTAGTTCAAATTCAGTGTATATATATAAGTTATAAATCAGGCTAAATACATTGTATTATTACTATTAATATTATTGGTACATTAACATAATATAAAGTAAATACTAGTTATTTGTTACTTCTATAAAATTAAAGGTAAACTTACTTAATTGAGTGTGAACATAAAGTAATGATAAAAAAACTAATATACGTGATTCTAAAACATTAGGTTTAACAGTGTTGGCAATAGGCTACTGGTATTTACATTTAGTATTTGTTTCCAGGCTATAAATACAATGGTTAAGACTAGTGTCGGAGTTGAGCATTCACAGTTTGTTAGGTGTGATGGGTGCAAGGAATGGATTTTATTTGGGAAATCGGGACTAGTATGTACTTTTAAGGAAGCTAGTACTAGTACTGAAGATGAACAATTTATATGTAAATTTTGTAGGTTAGAGGAGAAGTTGGAGGCTATCCTAATTAAAGTAGAGGCAATAGATAAAAAGAAGGATAAACTGTAGGAAATAGCAGCAAGATTTAAAGAGAAACATGCAAGGGATACATCAGCTAACAATGACTTTCAGAAAGTTAGAAAGAGTACTATTAAAGTTGAAACTAAAAGTAGTGGATTTAACTATTATGAGCCCATTCTATTGAACACCAAATTTCAGCTCTTGGCTTGTGCAGATGAGGAACTATTGAAGGAAAGGAAAACAAAAGGGTCAGAAAAGGATGTGGATGATAAACTTAAGGACGTTTTAAGTGATTCCTTGACAAGGCATGTGGATAGGATAGTCTGTGGTGTAAACAGGAAGATTTAGATCATGCTACCCAGGGGCACATGTTGAGGATACAACTGACAAAGAAAAAGATATAATAAAGAGGGCTAGCAATGATGTAGTTTTTTTTTTGTTTTTTTGTGGTTGGTCAGAGGAGTTAATTAATAAGTACAAAAGGTTGATAAAGAAAAGGGACATAACTTGTGTCAGGGATACTGTCAAGAATTAATTGTAGGGAGGAAATTATGAGTAGGTCATTAGGGCTAAACGTTAGGCTTAGGTTGATATGTAAAAATAAGCAAATAGGTTGGTTGGACTTGTGAGATCAGTTCAACAGGAGAATGGAACTTTTTGGAATAGATGGTTTACATTTAAATAGGGTAGGGTCTGGCTTATTTGCAAGGGCTATTAACTCAGCTGTAAAGGAAGATTTAAACTAGAACTAGACAGTGGTGATTACCAGCACTGACTAAATGCAAATAAAATAAAAAAAAGATGTAGAGATAGAAGTCATTCTAAGGACAGGCTTAATGGTTACTATTGTAATGTTAGAAGTATAAGAAATAAAATATGTGACTTTAGGGAAGTGGTAGGAACAGAGTATGTTAATATAATGGGAATAACTGAAACATGGTAAAATGTAGATGATTTTGATGACAGAAACTTCTTTGAAATACACGGTTACAGGCTATTTAATAGGGATAGAGTATTAAATGGGAAAAAGAGGAGTGGCTTTATATGTAAAATGTGAGTTACATCCTGTTGAAGTTGAGAATATCAACGAGACTGGCAAGGAGATTGAATCCATTTGGGTTTCTATTAGTGGATATAAAGGAAAAAGGCTTTTAAAGAGAATTTGTTACAAACCACTAAATGAGACTGGTGAAATTAGGGAGAAACTTTACAATGAGATTACGATTTCAGCTGTTAATGAAGCCATAATTATGGGCGATTTTAATTTCAGACATATAGATTGGGAAATTCTAGTCAAACCATGAAGGAGAAAGATTTTTGGAAACTGTTCAAGGCAGCTTTCTTCAACAATTATTTAGAGAACCTACTAGAAACAATGTTATTTTAGATATATTGTTAACTTCTAATACAGAGGGTGGAAATTGGAGAATATTTGGGTGCAAGTTATCATTGCTCTATTAGGTTTGCTGCATATGGAGATAAGGAATAATGATATTTTGGTTACAAATTTGGAAGGAATGCAAGAAGAATTGTCTGTTGTGAATTGAGCAGCCGAGTTATTTGGAGACACTGATCAATTGTGGAAAATTTTCAAATAATCAAGATAAACATATTCCTTTTAGAAAGAAAAGTGTAGCTGCAAGCAAAAACCAGGTTGAGAGAGGAAATTAAAGAAAAATATCAAAATTTAAAGAAAAATGATGTATGATAAAAGGTTGACTGAAAATGTAAAAATTAATAGTAAGGATTTCTTTAAGCACATTAAAGGTAAACAAAGTGTTAGGAAGGGGGTAGGACCCTTGAAGGATGATAAAGGAAGGCTCATATCTGATGATTAAGTGATGGCTAAATTATTATATTCTGCTTTTTCTTCAGTTTTTACTAATGAAGATTTCAGTAATATTCCTCATCTTGAACAGTTGATAGATGGAAACAAGGTAAGACAATATGATTGCATTAATTCTGAACTTGTTAAGAAAAAATTGGGCCAGATAATATTTCCTTGAGGGTTTTGAAGGAGGTTAAGGACTGGATATTTGAGCCATTTGCTACTATTTTTTGTAAGTCCTTGTAGAGTAGGCAGGTACCAGATGATTGGAAGTTGGTTAATGCCATTCCTCTTTTCAAGGGAGGTGATAGAAATTGTCCCAATAATTATAGGCCCATTAATCTTCATCAGCTGTGAAAAAAGTTTTGGAAAGACTGATAAAACATGTTTTGCAAAGTCATTTAACAAAGTTTAAAATTTTATTGGATAGTCAACCTAGTTTCACTAAGGGAAAATCTTGCCTTAAAAATCTTTTGACATTCTTTGAAAAGTTTACTGCTTATGTAGATGAGGGTAAGAGTGTAGATTTGGTGTACCTGGGTTTGCAGATAGCATTTGACAAGGTGCCACATGAAAAATATCTCTACAGGTGTGGGGGATAACTTAGCTAATTGGATAGAAGAGTGGCTGGATGAAAGAAAGCAGAGGGTTGTTACAAATGGAGTTCAGTCAAACTGGATTAATGTTACAAGTGTGGTACCTCAGGGCTCAGTCTTAGGACCTTTGCTCTTTTTTTGATTTACACCACTGACATAGATAAAGGAATGGTCAATGTTACTTAAATTTGCAGCTGATATTAAGGTCTTGGGTGTTGTAGCAGTGAAGAAAATGCTAATGATTTACAAAAAAATTTAGATCATTTAGTGAATTGGGCAAATAAATAGCAAATGGGTTTTAATTATAATAAATGCAAAATAATGCATGTGGGTTATCATAATTTGAATTATAAGTACATGTATACTTTGGATGGTAATAACCTTAACAGTGTCAAGAAAGAAAGAGATCTTGATGTAATGGTAGATCAGTCTCTTACACCATCCAAGCAGTGTGGTGCTGCTAGCAGTAGGGCAAATAGGACTTTAGGTTCTATCTACAGAAATATTGAATACAAGTTTAAAGAGGGTAGAATTCAATTGTATAGATCACTGGAGTATTGTGTTCAGTCTTGGGCTCCTTACTTTAGGAAGGACATTGAATTGTTAAAAAAGGTCCAGGGTAGGGTTAAGAGAATGGTGCCTGGGATAATGGGGTTATCATAAGAGGAGAAGTTGAGATCCCTCAAATTGTTCTCTCTTGAAAACAAAGGAGTAAGAGGAGAGCTGATTGAGGTGTTTAAGATTGTAAAGGGAATTGATAGTGTTGATGTATCATCTTTTCTCACACTCAATGGCAAGAATAATAGGACTAGGGGACACAAATATAAATTTTGGCAGGGTAGGAGTCATCTTCAATTAAGACCTTTAGAATGGGTTACCTTCGGATGTTGTGGATGCAGTAAATATAAGTAAGTTTATAAGAAAAATTGACAATTATATGAATGATTAGGGCTAGCTTTACGATTTTTTTTCAAAATGTATTCATTTTATAACTTTAGTTTAGTTTAGAGGATGGGACAGCCAAGAATGACCAATATGTCCCTTGTTGTCCTAAGACATTATGTTTTGTTATTTTACTCCTGTAAAAACCCAAGATACAGGACTGGAAAGGGTTCATAAAGTATTCTTATTACCTCCAGTGGTATTGCAAACTCCAGTTAATGAATGACAGAACTACAACTACTACACAATGCTACAACTCATTTGTACCATATAACAAATACTTACTTGTCACTAACATCTGTGAAATCAGACAGAGCAGATTTTCTCTGAGTTATAGTATCTTTCAGCTCTTTCGCCTGCTGCTTTAACTTTTCTTTTGTTTCCGTAAGCTCCTGTAGAAATAATGAAAAGCAGTGACATTAAATCCTCACCAGAATATCATTCTTTTTAATTTTTTTTAAAAGAATAATAACCAAAAAAGTCTAGTCTTCTACTATAATTTTCTAAAAGATATTATTTGTTTTATATTCAAAATCAATAGTACTTAAATAATTACAGTTTTTTCATAAAATTTATTTTACAATTGTAAATATATTAGAGTTAAATAACAACTAATTGTGCTATAATGGAAGCAGACATAACTGTCAGCCTTGGACAATATTATATTCCAGTAAATCTTTCAAGGAATTTCCACAGATCATTTTTTACTGTTCACAGTCAAAAGGTAAGATGATTATTCTGTCAAGATCTTCTTTATAACTGAAAATATATCAAATAACAGCAATGCTATTGGGTAATAAGTGATTGCCCAAGGGTAGTAACCAAAAGATGTCACAGCATGTAACAGAGTATTCTTACCATAAACTGTAAGGAAAGAAATGGTAATAAACAAAAGGCAACAATACCTTCATATGAAAGTAACACTGACAATGAAGTTGATTTCAACATAAATTACAAAATAAGGATACAAATGTACCAATGGAAAATTAAATATACTGAATAAAAGATATCAGCAACAGCAAAACACAAAAGTACTGCTGAAAATGCTTTACACAATGAAAATACATATGGTCCGATCTCAATTGTGGACAAGGGCACTATACAAATAATAGAAACCTTACTCTCTTACTGTATATATTATTTCTGCTGAATTTTAAATTTTTTTTATAAGTTCTATTTTGGAATATATTAAACCTGGTTGAGGTTGTGTGCAAATTCAGCCTGAAGTGTTACTTTTTGTGGTAGGTCCAGTCAAGGAATTCATCTGCTGTTTCTTGAGATAGTTGCATTGCATTGTATTGTACTTTACCTTTCACACAGAAGAGTACTCTGCAACTGCCAGATGAATCAGAGATATTTTCTTAGTCTGGTTCCTGTTTTCTAATTAGTAAACTACAGACAGTATTGCAACTGTAGTTTTAGCACTTTAGGAGTAGATTCATCTGATGTTTGGGCAAGATAATTGATGTTTCGAGGGATCCAAGACATGCTGTAGAAGTCCCATCTTCATTTTATTATGTTCTTCAACCTGTTGATTGTATTATTTGTTTTGCTTCTCCTTCAACATAGTCAGTAACTTAACTGTTCATCTAAATACAGTTTTTATTCTATTTAAGTTCAACCTCTACCACAAGTTGAAATAGTCCAACTAAAACTGATCAGCTTCCTGTCCCCAGCATTTCTACATTGAAATAGCAATTTATTTTGTTTAGACTTCAACATCATATGTTGTCTCTCTCATTTCATCTGTAAGTAACTGGTAAAAACTGTCCTTTAGTATACTAGATATACAAACCTTTTGCTTTTGAAGAGATGAAGTTACTGTGCAGGTCTCAAAATTAACACTAATAAATTGCAGTGTTGCAGTTTGTAGTAACACTTAGCAGGCACTAAAAAAATTGCTAGTACATATTTTAAAAGGAAGATTTGCAGATTCTTACAGTCATGTATGATACACCCATGAACTAACCTAAAGAGATACCTATTTTTACAATTTATGTTACTTTTATAATAATAGATAAAGAATAAACATGAAAAATAAGAAATAAAGT